TCATTAAAAAAACAGAATAGTACCGTGCATTCAAATTATTTAGTTCCACCTGGTTCGATTGTCTCGAACCGCTTGAGAAAAGAAGAAGTAGAAAGAAATTCCGATATTCTACGAACAGTAACGAAAGGAAGAAAATCGTTGCATGTTTTTACTTGTATTTTTGCTTGAAATAAAGCAGATCTGTGGTTAATGAAACTACGCTTTAGGAAATTTTTGATTATTTTAAAAGACTCTACACCTCTGATTTTTCTCGAATATGGTGTTAATTCCACTACCGTCAATAAAAAAACGTTTTAACATTTGTCACTTGAGGCAGAAGAAATTTTGAAAATTCTCTCGGTAATTTGTTTGCACACCACTGTATGTTGTTGGCTTTCTCTAGCTTTTCTTTCGTTCTGTCAAGTATTTTGTCAACCATTGATTGCACAATTGAAATAACGGGAATCAACCATTGATCTCAGCTTGGCAAGTTTTATTACCAAGTGCCGAAATTACTTCTTCTCTTTTACCCTATCTCTCCAACTTTCCAGTAACAACATACAGATTGAACGATCGATCTCAACTAACCTCGATAGCTCACTGTGAATTGTTGATGGATTTTGCACATAATACGATCGAATATGCCAAGTCTTATAAGGCTTCACGCGAAGTTGCTGAAATACGTGATGTACCAGAATCACATTATGTTTGTCAGTGGTGGATCCAACACTTCGACGGAATCAAACCTGAAACTAAGTCTGTTGTGTCCACCCAATTCCGGAAAAAACATCGTGATCACATTAGATGGAATGGTGCGTTGCTACCTTTTCGTCGATCTGGTTTATGGATGACAATTAAAGTTGTTTTTCAGACCATTCTAAGCAAATGTTTGGGGGACGTTGGTACCATTGTTTATAAACTATTGATCACTCATTTTCTCGCTCATATCATCATTCGCACAAGACCAAACTCGACCGACTTACTAGTCCATTGCATTCGAAAAATCGTACGTCGATTAAACAAAATTGAAGGCTTGTTGACTTCTATCAATACAAACGACGTGAAAAACGAATGGATTCAACACATGAAACAAGAAATACAAACAAGTATTGACTCAATTTTTCCAAAACTAGATTGGCAAAAACAAGTTACGCTCAATGAAAATATTCATCCAAAGTTGATTTTGAAGAATTTAATAATTGATGATCCTGGAATTTATCAGCATCCATGTATAAAACTGCAAGATTACTTGACTAATCAAAGGTCAAGCGACATATCTGAACGTTTTACAGGTGTAAGCAACTATTACAAATTTTCAAACGTTATTGAAGCAGACTATGTACCGTCATACGATGTGTTAACAACAAAACTGAATTATACGATTGGAGTAGCCTTGACGCGCATGGAAGTTTGGGTTGAATCAAGTTTAGAGCAATGGATAAATCATCCATCAATATTTTTAAGTGGGAAAAATCGTTTTGAAATTTTAGTACGATTCTATGAAGAATATCAGAGCAGGGCTCTAAACCATTATTGGCCGAATAATGGTCTAACAGATCCCATCGGTTACAGTCGATTCATCTTAACATCGTTAACAGTAATTCGAGCTGCACATAAAAAATTATGTAAAGATGATGGACTCGAACGGCTCAAACTGCATTCTATTAAAATTCCCTATCTTATAAAACTGTTTGAATTTTTAGTCTTACCAAACCGAGAAGATATGATTAGAACTCATGATCTTTACGATTACTTTCATCATTTCGATAACAGGGATTTTCCTGATCTGTTAACAGATATCAAATCTGAAAATGCATTTGGAGTATATTTTGCCGGTCAAACGCCGTCGATGAACGAAAGTATACAGCAGATTCAAGCTCAAGCTGTTCGGGATGAGCAAGATAAAATAAAGGAAGTGAACGATGCCAAAGAAAAATATAGACAACTTAAGAATTCTGTAAGCCGTCTCTCCTGTAGTTGCAGCTATGAGTATAGGCACTGGACCACATGTGTAAAATGTCGAGTTGACGCACAAGCGAACAGAATTCAAGTGAAAATTTTCGAACGTCCAATACCATTACTGCGCAATGATGCATTGGCTGTTATTTTTGAATTACAAATGCCAATTGAAATTAGATGTTATCGAGAGATTCTTTGGCAATTTATCAATCGTCACAGTCCAAATCCCTACATTAAAATGTATGAATGGTTAAGTGTTTCCCCTCATCAAAGAAAGTTAGGACCGTTCTATACTGGTCCAAGTAATCGCAAAGTTAGATTAGTATCTCAAACGAAATCCATGACGCAAACTCATTACAGTTGTCCACCGTCAATTGTATCCACCTCTGTTGAAGGTTTCTTATTTGAAAATGGTCTGAAAGTTCAAATTTCTCCAACTGCACCAATTAGTCTTGCTGAGGAATGCCGTACATTAACACCTCAACTTGACCATTCAGATTACAAATTGTTACAATTTACCATTAACAACACGCAATTCGTACAAAATGGCATCATTGCCAAACTGTCTGACTGTCCAGCACGACTAAAGCCTACACAATTTGTGGAGTTTGGCTCTTTTCGGTCAGGTCATCGTTTACAATGGTGGAATCTCTTGGCGGTGCTGGAAATGGATTCTATATCTATTGCTGAAGAAAGTGTAGCCGTACTGCTCATACATTCAATTTTACAATATGGTCCAGGTAATCCCTTACTGCGAAGCTTAACCAGTAGTCCACTATGTGAAACCTTGTCGAATGCCTTACTGGAATCCAAAGACGCTGCTAGTACCGGATTTCCCTCATTCAAACTATTAGCAATAAAATCAACTATTGAAATTAGTTGATTCACAGAGAAGTCATGAGGTACAAAACCAGACTGGTTTTTACAAATTAAGTTGTTGGTTCTTAAAAAACCATAGACATGTCGATAAATGACTCGCTCAAAGATTTTTGACAAAGCTGCTAAAAGTTAATGGGGCGATAGTTGTTTGATGATTGAGGATCATCAGACTTTTGGTGAATAACAAACAGAAACTGTTACTAGACGCGTTTCTGACTGCTAGTAGTGGAGATAGAGAGTGATACGAGAACAAGTGCCTTGGCTTAAGACTCCTTGAACCCAACTTAAAACTTTAATTTATACGGTTGAATGTTTTTTGTATAAAAAACGCTTCAACTATTTTTTGTATTTTATATATAAGTATATATATATGCTTGCTTATATAATTGTTCGTGGTGCCATAGAAAATAAAATTTTTGTTTATTGGGACGCGTTTCGTTTTATTTAAAAATAAAACTCATCAGGCAATTATTTGGATCTCTTTATATAATAATAATTTTAAGCACTCAATTTAAGCCAGTCAGGCACTCAACTTTGACGCATGAACGTCAGCAACGCAAAACGTTGTTAAATCGAAAACGACGTGAGCGGAAAAAACGAGTGGTAACGGCGATAAATATGATGGTGATGGAGCAGGAACAAAACGTACATCAACAACCCGCTCCATCACTTCCAGAAGAAGATGGCAATAATAGTGATGAGGGACCACCGAACCATGTAGCAGAACTCATCCGCACAGATGAGTCATCCGACATGGAGGATTTGGCAGACGATATGGAGCGTCTCGGTGGAAACGAACAATCACAACACCAGGATAGAAACAACAATTAAAAATTGCATTTTATGCCTGCGTGTCTGTGTGATGCCGTTAAGACAGTCACTTTCGGGCATGAAGCCCTTTTCCTTTTTCTTTTTGTGTGTGTGTGTGTATGTATGTGTGTGTCTGATACTTTTTATCTTAAAAAATTTTTTTTTTTTTTTATTTTCTATTTTTATTAAGTTTTTTTTCGTGTGTGTTTTAGATCAAAAAATTGCCTGATGAGTTTTATTTTTAAATAAAATGAAACGCGTCCCAATAAACAAAAATTTTATTTTCTATGGCACCACGAACAATATTATAAACAAGCATATATATATACTTATATATAAAATACAAAAAATAGTTGTAGCGTTTTTTATACAGAAAACATTCAACCGTATAAATTAAAGTTTTAAGTTGGGTTCAAGGAGTCTTAAGCCAAGGCACTTGTTCTCGTATCACTCTCTATCTCTACTACTAGCAGTCAGAAACGCGTCTAGTAACAGTTTCTGTTTGTTATTCACCAAGTACAATGGTATTATGTACCCTAATTGCCATGCTTTTGGAAACTCCTCATACTCTAGTGAGTTATTAAACAACTCTGTAAGAACAGGAGCAATGATAGCTGCTGACTCTTTTAACATCCTATTTGATATTTCTGGTGAGGTTGCCTTCGACACATCTAAATGCAGTAGAATATCCAAAACCTCAGAAACATTTACAGTAATTCCTGACATAACAATTTTTGACATTGGAAGAGATGCCTGGGGCGGAGGAGAGTAATTTGTATCCTTTGTGCTGACCGACGAAAAATGCTGATTAAGTATTCGTGCTCTATCAACTGGACTGGTTGCAACCTTTTTAGCTAAGGAATCATACAGCGGGACGATACTAGAATGTTTAGTTTTACCTAAGCAGTGTTTTAATAAGTTTCACCAGCATTTAGATGTGTTTCTTCTAGAAGAAATCCTTTAAAAGTAAACATCTTTGACAATCGAAGTCTGTGTTTCTAAACGATTATTAGCTTCCAAATATTTTTTATTATCAGCTTGATTTCCTGTCTCCTGATCTTACAGAGTTGTTTAATAACTCACTAGAGTATGAGGAGTTTCCAAAAGCATGGCAATTAGGGTACATAATACCATTGTACTTGGTGAATAACAAACAGAAACTGTTACTAGGCGCGTTTCTGACTGCTAGTAGTAGAGATAGAGAGTGATACGAGAACAAGTGCCTTGGCTTAAGACTCCTTGAACCCAACTTAAAACTTTAATTTATACGGTTGAATGTTTTTTGTATAAAAAACGCTTCAACTATTTTTTGTATTTTAT